TGCATTACCAGTAAGTTTTCGACATAAAAGAGAAAAGAGACGAGCTAAAATAACTAACCGTAGAAGGCTCAGACTAGAGCTGTGGTATAAACGCGTAACTTGTAAGATTAATAATGGTAGAAGGACCAAGAGGAGTCCAATTCGGTCTTTAATCATAGGAGTGATTGACAAAATCGGGCGACCGCGAAGCAGGAGTTCTATTTGTTAATTACGAGTATGATTGCAGAAAGAATTGGACGACATAAAGTCCTGTTATCAATTAATCAGAAATATAACAAAATTTTAGAAAGAAGCTGGACATCAGTTGTACGTTTTCATAAAAAATAACCTACAGTTAACTCGGAGAAATGCGAGTCAACAGCGCGCGCACATGACGCGTTCTGTCCACATTTACAAGGCCTGACGTGTTAACTGTCCTTTTGACTAAGACATAGTATGATGCTACTCCGGTTTAAAGATTAAATGAATGTGACCGAGAAGTTACAATTCACAGACCCAACGTTTCGACACTCCTGTCTAGTGCCTTCATCAAGGGTGATCAAATTGCTGCGACAAGAGGTATTTTAATATGCTTACTAATTAGCTGCCCTTTTTTCTGACGAGGTGTAAGTGGGCGTCAGGTAATAAGCCGCCGTCATCACGATTTAACTGTCCTATTACACTGTCCAATTACAAGCATGACGCAAACATTGTGCTATTAGCGCTAAAATCGGGCTGGTGATAACCAATCATAGTAAATGCAAAGTTGCATACTTTGAAAGTTAAATTTGGAGAACGACCTTCAAAAGAAGGCTGATACGAAGGAGGGACACTGAAGGAAAACCCGACCCAGCTCCACTCCCCCGACCCATGTTCCCATTCCTTCCTCTCCTCCCTTAATGTTTCTCTCAAGCCCTTTGACCTTGTTCTATTTCCCTTTGCTCTTTTTTTTTTGTTAACGATTCACATCATGACGTTTCTTGTTTCAAACCCACAAGGTACTTTATTTCAACCAAAATCAATCAAAAATAACATTTTAACTATGAATGAAATTGAAACGCACGAGGAAATAAGTCAAAGAAAAAACACTTAAGGTGTGAGCACCGTTTCCTACTAACATCTCCTTGAAGCCGTCCATCGTTGCGTGACGAGACCAAACATGCTGCAAAAAAAGAGCGGTCCCTTTGGCAAGGAAACTGGTTCTAACAACTAAAACGTTGATCCTTTCCCTTCCACGGTTATAGAAAAAAACTAATCGAAACTGAACTGAAGAATTGAATTTGAACAAAGCCTGACAAACCCTTTTGTGTTTCTTTGAGGGTATGCAGTTTTATTCATTTATTCTGCTAAACTGAAATTCTGCTCATGGTTAATTTACTATGTTTATTACATCCATTTTGAAATCCGTTGTGATCCTTGCAATCTGACAGGCTCTCATCGTGCGATTTATCCACGAATCGTACCACTTTATGTTCTAAATCGCATCTCTTTCCAAGTCAATGAGACAACTTTATTAAAACACATCAACCATTCAAGGCTTATTTAAAGAAATCCATCAAATCGCAAGGAAAATGAAAGACAGCTTTTACAACTTTTTCCAAACCAGCTCATCACTGAATCAATAAAATATTTGTAGAAACTGAAATAATCTATAATTGAGCGACTGTATTTTGCGATTTCCAAATAGATGTAACAAAGTGATAATTGCTCTTCATGTCGGGCAATTTTAGATGTCATGCTGTTATTTTTTTCCCACTCGGTCTTTTTTCTCTTTTAACTTTACTTTTGAGTTTCTCTTTTATGTGGCTTTTTATCTACAATCAGTTAGTGCCAAAATCATTCCCAAGTCCTTTTAGGTCTGGCACTATTACGTACTCATTTGACTGGACTACGTACTTCGCTTGAAGTGAACCGATGTTGTGTCGGCTTTTCATCGTTGCGGACGAGCTCGCTCGGCCTTTTTTCACCTGCCAATAACAGAGACCGGAAGCTATGATCAAGAGAACGACCACGCCCACTGAAACTGCGATCACAGCCGCCGGGTACCTTATTCTATCAGTCCAACCCATTGATGTCTTCGCAACTGCTTCGCTTTCAGAACTGATGGATGTCAGGCTAACAGTAAAACCTAAACAAAAATTAACCAAACATATTTATCTCTCCATCTTGAATGAATTCCTTCCTTTCCCCCAGCACTACTTCAAAAAACATTTAAACCTTTTTCTTAAAATGCAGATTTAAAATAGGCCACAGAAACGACCTGCTAATGTCGAAAGGATCTTCACAACTCGACCACTTTTAAACTCATGGCATAAAAAGAAGTCTAAATACTTCAAGCTTCGACTAAGCCCCTCAAATAGGCCTGTCCTGATCATGCTCGTAAAAACACTGGAAAGTTGCTCACTGAAATGCTAAAAAGGTGCTTAAAAATTGCCAAAATTCCAAAACGTTGCTACCTAAAATTTGTTGATATCTATATATAAATGTTAATTTAAAGCCTTATTTTTCGCCTTCACAATAATTGCTAACAACACTGGTCAATAAACCTAGCTTTAAAGGATTGCTTGCAAATATGGGCGAAATTTAAGAATACTCTTTAGTTAAACGGAACAGAACACATGGTTCATTTGACGTCTTACCGAAAGTCATTTTAACGATCGCAATAGGCCTGCCAAATGCTGTCACGGTGACAAGTTATGTGTTCAAAAGGTTAACAAACAATTCATGAAATTCGTATAAATTGAAGTTTTCTATGAAATCGTTGACTTTTTCGTCCTTTATATGTGCTCTAAACTTATATTTTGCTCAAAAATTGCCGAGAAAGGCAAGAATTCTTCGAGGTTGCTAGAACCGCAATAAGTTACTCCAAACAGCAAGTAACGAATGAAT